CGTTGCACAGGTCGCTTCCCGACACGCCATGCATCATGCACTCACCTTTCTCATCCTCCTCTTCTTCCTTCTCCCCCGGCCGGCCCTCCTCTTTCCCCGCGGCCGGTCCTCCACCCCTCGACTGGCGCCTTCCCCTCCTCCCCGCCGACACCTCAGCTCCCCCCTTCCCTTTTCGCATGCTGCCTTTCCCCCCCTCCTCCTTTTCAACTCCCTCTTCCTCCCCCTCCTCCTCCTCCTCCTCCTTCTCCTCCCCCTCCTCCTCCTCTTCTTCTTCCTCCTCGCTCTCTGGCCCGCACGCCGTGTCCAGGCTCTCGTCCGTGGCTATCAGGAAGTCGAAGATGCCTCGGTTGAACTCCTGCAGCGTGTGCAGCCGGGAGTTCAGCGGCAGCTCGGCATTCAAGACCGCGGATCGAATGGAGAACTGCTCCAAAAAGAGCTTGAGCCGGTAGCAGGCGTCCAGGCCGTTCACGAAAAAGAGCCCCTTTCCCTCCAGCACCCCCAGCTTCAGGAAGACGAAGACGAGCAGGAGCTTGTCGGCCTCGGGGAGGCTCACGTAGAACTGGAGAAGCTCGCCATCCGTTCGACCCTCCTCCAGCTTGAGTACGGCCGGGCTGTGCAGGACTACACGCTTTAAGTCGTCGAGTTCGGGGCTGAGGGTGGCGGACATGAGGATGCCCTGGTAGATGCGGGGCAGCGCCGCCACGACTCGCTTCACGTCCTCCTCGTAACCGAAGGAGAGGATCAGGTCGGCCTCGTCCATGACCAGGGTTTGTACCGAGGCCTTCAAGGATATGTTCCCAGCCTGCAAGTGGGAGACGAGGCGAGAGGGCGTGGCCACGAGCAGGTCGGGCTGGTCCCTCAGAAGGGCTTGTTGCGCGCTCATGGCCGCCGCGTCCCCCCCTCCGAGCAAGGCCTGCACACTCACCACGTCTCGACAGTAGTAGGTTAGATCTACGAAGGTACGGTAGGTTTGGTCGCACAATTCTTTTGTGGGGACAAGAATTAAGGCCAATACCCCGCTGGGTGATGATTGCGCCCCCGCCTTTGGCTTCTTGCGACTCGACCGTGTGGCAGGTGTCGTCGAAACAGAATGGGACATGCCGAGTGTGCTCTCTTCTGCCTTCTGGAGCAGAATTTTGTGGAGAGTAGGCAGGGCGAAGGCGGCGGTTTTCCCGGACCCGGTGCGGGCACGCACGAGTAAATCCTTCCCCTCCATGGCCAACGGGATTGCCTTACTTTGTACCAGGGTTGGGTAAATAAAACCCATGCGCGACACCGCCTTGATAAGCCGCCGATCAAGACCGAAATCGAATGCACTGAATGTGCCCGCTTCCTTATCGAGCAACATGCCTGTCTTGTGTTGCCACATGACCAGTGGGGAGGTCGTCAGTCGAACAGAGATTAGCTACTAGCTACATCGTTAAAAGCGCAATGGGGAGAAAAGTTATTTTATTCTAGATCGATCAAGCAATCATGCTTCATGGACATGCATGGATAAGGACCTCACTTGCTTGCCACATACACGAGCGACTCCCTTGGCCTGGCCACTAACATCGCGACTTGATATCGGCCCAGATGCCACCCGGGCTTTAAGCCTCATTCTTGAGAGAGCGCCCGGGGCGGAAGGCCCACCGCGATGAACGGCTCTGAAGACACCGTACCAGTGCCTCCCCTCTTTCTGCACTCACACTCCCCGGACAATCGTGCCCCCCCTCCCGAAGCACCGGGACGAAGGTTATGTGGGACGGGTGGGTTGGATTCAGTGGAAGGAAGCGAAATTAGTAAGATGGATGGCGGGGCAAGATGCAGGGCAATGTAGATGAACGACCTTCGCTGAGGCCTCCCTCGTAAGTGGAGGAGAGGCAGGCCTCAGGAATGGCTGGCCTGCTGCCAGGCTGTCTTGCCAAGGCGTCCACTCTATGGAAGCTTTGGCTGTGTACACTGGTGCTGACATGCTTGTGTCTTTGCCAATGGGCGCCGCCTTTTTGCTGTGCTTTTACCCGCAGCACTGGAAAAAGACGGGAAGACAAAGGCTGACCGACACTCCGTTTCCCTACCACACATGACAATCATGCAGGAGAGTTTACTTCTTCTTTGTTTTGAAAATGGTAAGTGCAGTAGACTGGGGGAAAGGACTGAACAGACACGCCATTGCGAAGGTTTGCTTTTCGCAGTAATTGCCTGGATCTCACGTCTCTTGCCTCCTCCCCTCCCCAATTTAGCCTTCGAGGCTCTCCAAGAACCGAAAAAAGCGAGGACATGTCAGCGCAGGCCACGGCCGCATTGGCAAGCATCGCAAGCATCCGGGTACGTGTCATAATGCATGCATGGAGGGTCATTTATTTTTCGGGAAGGGGAGGGAGGGGCGTGCATGTGAGCGCTGCTGCACTCAATGATTGTCCCTCACCACCTCACGACTTCCTTATTGTCTGCAATTCCAGGTGGGCGGGGTAACGCCGGTGGTCAACACCACCATCGCATCCTGATGGATAAATATCACCCTGGGTACTTCGGTAAGGTGGGGATGCGGCACTTCCACGTCCTGAAGAACCGGACCTACACCAAGGCCGTCAACGTGGACAAGCTCTGGTCGCTGTTGGGGGCCGAGGCGTACGAGGCGGCGAAGGCGGGCGGAGGGGACAAGGCCCCGGTGCTGGATGTGACACAGATGGGGTTCTTCAAGGTGCTTGGAAAAGGGAAGCTGCCCTCCGTGCCCCTGGTCGTGAAGGCCAAGTACTTCTCGAAGGACGCGGAGAAAAAGATCAGGGAGGCCGGGGGAGCCACGCTCCTAACCGCGTAAATAGAGGGAGGACGCCAGAGATAGGTGCTTTGGAGTGAGGAAGTCATGCCTCGGGGTCGAGGGCTGGTGGGAAGGGTGACGTGTGGGTAGAAGGAACTCAGCTTACACGACAGCACCGAGTAAAGAAGCAAAGGATCGCACTGGGCAAGGAAGGGGAAACAATTGCCAGTCTTTTGAATCGCAGTCATGGTTTTGCCTCGAAGTTCCTCCCACCGCCTCGCTAAAGCTGACGTCTGGCAGCATTCGCGCTGTACTCCTGAGAGCTTTCCTCCACTCTCCTCAATTTGCTTCTTCCATGGTCATCCTCACCCTTGTCAGGCCTCCTCTACCCTCCCTCTCCCTAACTGCTCATGTTCGGGCTCACATTCAAGCTTCCGTCCCTCCTCCCAGCAAAACCTCGGACACTCCATTTCCGTCTCGAAGGAGCACGTCTCCCTCGACAGACAGCCCGCAGGCCCCTCCATCTCCGCTAGCAAAGGTTGCGACCCGTTCCACGGAGCCCGCTCCTCTCCTTCCAAGGCCACGAAACCCCCTCCTGTCTTTTACTTCCCGTTCTGCTTCTGGATCCACGCCGCGACGTGCATGCCCCAGGAGATGGGCGTCAAGAAAGATCCGAGCACGTAGGCAGGGTTGACGCTGGTAGACAAGGGAAGAGAGAGGGGATAGTGGTAGGTATGAAGAAGTAAGCTCAGGCGCGACAAACAGAAGAATCTCATCACAACACTTACGAATCGACGGTGAGGATGTTGAAAATATTGGATTCGTGTACGCAGTACGCACCCTGTTGTAGGTGGTCAGAGTACGAGCGAGTGCATGGCTGTGTCAGCTCTTTCCTTGCGTGAAATTCCCTGAATGTATCAAACCTTTAACCACACCCTCCCTTTACAAGCTCCCACACAATGACGCACCACCATCAGGGCGACCAAGGAGGCGGGGCCAAGGACGCCGGAGGGAACCTTGGCCAGGAAAGGGCCCAGCACGGCCGAAGAGGGAGCCTTGCCCTCCCAGTACGTGCTGTCCTCCATCATCTTCATAGCGCGGCCTGATGACGACCGGAGTGCATGTAAGACGCGATATTATCAGCTCAATAGATTGATACGAGTTTCCCGAGAACGAAAGAGAACTGGCTTACCGCGGGCGACAACAGGTGCGGCAGCGACTTTATGCATTGGCGCCTTGGGCATGAAGGCACTCGAGAGGCCGAAAAGAGCCATTAGGACCAATAACGCTCCGAAAGTCTTCATCTCTTTGTCGTCTGTGTACTGATTTGGTTTGCTTCTCCCTGTCTGTGGCATTTTGAAGTATAGGCGAAAACAGGACGAGCATGAGGGCGGTGTCGTGCTGGCAGGGACATATTATCCTGGGGTTGAGGACCAGCGAGCCACTTTAAGGCCAAATACTCCCCAACGCACACCCTTCGACATTGAACTGAAAATACAGGTTGTACCCTTATGGGTCTGCCCACCGCGCAAGCGAAGACATTCGATGTTATATTGACTGGGAAAGTAATGCCGGATCGGCCTCGCAGTTCGACACTTGAGCTCGTATCCATTATGGTGAGGCTAGGCGATTAACGGGGACGCAAAAATGAATTTAATTTCGTACCCGTTGCACAGGTCGTGCTCGACCTGCTTCACACTGAAGTGCTTTCAAGTCGAAGTGGGGGTGTGAAAAGGGTGCGGATGGCTCATCTTCAACGTCGCCTTGAGTATCACGGCACCAAGGAACTTCGAAAAGGCGCGCTCTGAGGAGAGAGCGAGAGAGACAGACCAAAAAATGCTTTTCGAGCGATGACTGGGAAAAAGTGCAGCTAACAGATTTCGCATTCAGGAAATTGGAGTCAGTATCTCCTCGAAATTATAAGGTTATGTCCACTAGTTCCTCTTCATAATGCTTTTGTCGAAGCTTGAATTGCAAGGGGTGTGGAAACAACAGACGTCAAACACCACTGATAACTCTGTCACGAAATAAAATAAAATGGTGTATCATCCCCAAACAATTTCACGAGGACGATGTTGCCTTGAAAAAGAAGATTTCGTGTTCGTTTAACCTTTTTTCAAAACCTGAGCTTCCTCGTCGAAAAGGATATTTTCCGGTCAAGAAACACTGAGCCACAGTGCCTTGAGGGAACTGTACTACGTTCTAGCAGCGAATGCTCAACCAGCCAAAACATCGTGCCACTAATACAAAACAACACCACCCTGAATAGCAGCGCACTCAACGCTGCGATTACTTTCAAAACTTACAGCCTTTCAACCATAATCCAAAAGAAGCCTCCGATTTCCCACATTTTCCTCCTCCTGCCGACTCATCCTCATCAGTACAAGAACGCTCTAATGCAATCCTAAGCTAGTTGACTGTACATTCTTTTCCTTTGAGTTGAAAGCCCTTCACCTTCCGCTCCTGTCCATCTCCCCCCTGTTCTGTTCTACATAGGGCTTCAACCACGAGGTCGCCCGTTTCAGCGCCCGCTCGGCCGCGTAGTCCACCAGCCACATGGGCACCAGGCTGTTGACCTTGACAGTCGCCGACATGTAGACCCGCGTCCAACCCTCCGGTCGATCCGCAGGTTGATCCTCGATGTACCAGAATCCCTCCGCCATCTCCAAGATGCTGCGGTACTGCTGGCAGTCGGGGTCGAGGTAGAAGTTCAGGCGATTCTTGTGAGGAGGGAAAGAATATGAAACACAACACAATGAGTAGATGACAGAGTCAGACTATATCCAGGAATCCGTCCGGGCTCGACCAAGATCAGGAATCCCTTTGAGCTCCTTTCTCTGCATCCTCCACCAGAACGCACCTCCTCAGGCGCGTGCTTGTGGACGACCGAGAGGCGGAAGCGGAACTTGGAGAGTGTGAAGACTCCCTTGGTCAAGGACGGCCACCGGGAGGTGATCTTGACCTTGCGAATGGTGGGAATCATGTCCGCGTAGCGCTCGAAGCCCAGGAGCGTGTTCCAGACCGTGGCGCTGTCCGCCAGCACGTCCACAACGACATACCCGCTACCCACGCAGCCATTGCGGATCTGATGCTGCACACGTTGGCCAGCTCGCAGCAATATGAGGTCCTCTTTGCTCAGTCCTGGGAGGTTTGTCGGCTTCGGCAACGCCCGTCGACGCGCCGCTGCTTGGGAGGGGGGCAAGGCGTAGGCGGAGGACTCCTCCTGCAGAAAAGAGCAGAAAAAAAGGGGGGGGGGAGGAGGACAGTTTTAAGGGCCGAGTATGTGGACACACGTGTAAATAGAAAGCGATCGCTGGACAAACAGAATCGAATCCCTCAGATTCCCGGACGGGAGACGACGGCGCGTGACTCACCGTGATGGCAACCGAGGAATGATTGAGCTGGACAACCACCGGGCTGGACATATGGCTCGACCCTGTGCTAGTTCCCGTATAGCTCACACCTCTCGGTGACAAAAGCTCCCGCCGTTGTCCGGGGCGGAACCCACCACAGAGCGGGGTGACAGGCGCCGAGGTGGACGGCCGAAGGAAGCCGGTCAACGTTTTCGATCTGGATGTTGACCATCCACCATCATCAATCGGGCAAGGTGCCCCCGCAGCTAGACTGACCAGCGACAAAAGGCACAATGCCATGACCCGCTTGGCCTCAAATAATGTCGTGCCGTCTCCCCCAGTCCGCGTCAGAGCAGCAGCTGGAACAGAGGGGTCTGACGAGGCAGACAGCCAAGAACAAGACGCTTCGTCTCCACCCGTGCTGCCGCTGTCATTGGTGCTTGTCGCTGCTCTAAACATGTTGGGTAGCTGCGTGGAGTATCAAAAATCTACTCTATCGAAGCAAAAACGAAGGGTGAGGGATTAGCAAGGGGAAGCGGGAAAACACCAAGAACACGCACGTCTACGACGACAGAGCCGAAGCCGCAAGCAACGGTCAACGCGCTCCACGAGATGCCGGACAGCGTGGAATAGAGTATGTATGACACCGTCTCGACAGTCACAGAAGAAGATTAAGCAAAAGGCCAATGTGTGCTGGAAGGTTTCGGTCAAGTTGGCAAAATGAAGCGTGTAGCCAGAAGACGTGCTGACTCGTTGCGGCCGTCGGACACGTCGCTCGGCAGATGGATGGATTGCCCTCCCTCACACACAGGACATACCCCAGCCCGGAGAATAGGCACCCTCCCTCGTGCCTTTTAGCTTCTCATTATTTCACATTTTGAGTATTGTTGTCAGTCACCATGCGCCTCGTCAGTCAACAAAGGCGGCTCCCATTCCTCAACCTCGCAAGGAGGAGCCTCCTCCCACAGGTCCCTAAACCAGCGATCTGCCCAGGACGGCCCGTGCTCGGCAGTTCCCACCCCTTCTCCCCCTATCACATCACCTGTTAAAGGCCTTAGCACCATCACCACGCCCCCCATCATCATCGGAACCGTACGACGTCGCGTGTGTTCACTTAATCCCATATCCTTCTGAATTGCCTCACTGTCTCGCTCCTCCACTTCTTCCTCTTCCTCGACCGAAATTTTTTCATCCCCTTCTACGAGTAAACTTGTCCCATCAATTACATCTTCGACCTCATAATTTTCTATCCGCAGCGCGTTGACAAAGTTACGAAGAGTTGCTTTGTTGTCTCTGTCGATAAAGCTCAATACAAACCGCCCACGCGGCTGAGGTTCCTTACTTGGCCTGACTTTCGCAGCCCCAACCGTCGTCTTTTCCTTCCCATTCCTTGAAAGCAACAACACTCGAACACACTGCAAAAGTTGGCGGATATTGTCTTGAGAAATTGAAGGGTAGAGGATGTCGCTGCCAATTATAAGCGATACAGGAGGCTCCTCACCTCGCACCAAGGAACTTGCCTCCTCCCTGTTACCCCAACGGAGCCGCATGACGGCCAGTTCCGCGGTAAGGGCAGCGGAGAAGTCAACGAACTTTGAGGAACAAAGAGTGATGTCTGCTTCCCGGTGGTGGTTCCTGGCGTTACACTGCAGGAGTGTCACACTCTCCAGGTCCCCGTCTGTCAACGTGATGCGTCGCCTTGCGGGGTTCTTCGGTCCAAAGGGGTTTGAAGGAAGCGACAAATGGGACAACAGCAGTCCCGCTAGACCTGTGGAGCCTGCCCCTAGCTCTACGACATGCTGTATGACAGAGGTTTCCACCAAGACCTTGCGTCTGGACAGGAGGTATGCGCATAGAAGGAAAGACCCGGGCCAGAGCAGCAGCCCTGTCCGATCCACATGAGAGTCTCCCTCCCCCCCATTGAGCAGTTCGCCGCGAAAGGATTCGCAGCATTCAATTCGAAACCGCAAATATCCAGCAGCTTCGCTGCCAATGATGAACACTCTCATGCCTCGGGGCTGTTTCGACTCTGAAGTTGCTTCCGGGAATGATTCCTGAGGACTCATCATCGCTCCTCACCACCGATAAGTGACCTTGGAAATGTAGCATAATAATGATCAAAGGATATACGGTATATCACATCCATAGACGAGCTAGAGTGCCACACACATAACCTTTTAGTATAGAAGAGTCAACGACTATGGGCTTTCCTCCACTCTCCTCAATTTGCTTCTTCCATGGTCATCCTCACC